GGGGCCTCCCGGCCTGTGCGCAGAGCGGCCGAGCCCTGCCGGGGTAGTCGGGGTGGGAGCGCTTCTCTTCTCCCACTCAGTCTGCGCGGCCAGCAGCAAGAAGGAAGGGCAAGAAAAAGCAATGGTGACTCGTCTGTGGAGGCTCTCCTGCCATGGGGCCCCCTGATGGGCGGCGGGTGAGAGCGGAGGCCCTCAGGGGCCCGGGCCCTGGCCTGTGGCCCTGGGGGTAGAATGCTGCCCTGGCCCCTTGCTAAGATGTTCGCGGCCCACTCTGAGCAGAACCGATTCTCTTTCAACATTCCACAGCCTCTGGGTTGTAAGCGGCCCAGTTTCCCCGTGAGGGAGGAGTCCAGGGTTAGAAAGGGAGGTATGTCTCCCACTCTGGAGAATCAGGAGCTGTGAAGTGGTCAACACAGTCTCCGGAAAACTTCCAAGGCAAGAGGTGTGCAGGTCCCAAGGAAAGAGACGGGAGATGAGAAGTGAGGGGCTCCTGGGCCAGGAGGGGACCACGAGGCGAGTGCCTGGGCCTGGAAGCTGGGCTGCCCAGAGGAAGAGAGCTTGGACCACTGGTCACTGCTCTCCCCCAGGACAGGACCTCTGGGCCCACTTCCTCATGGAGCTGAGGCTTTCCTGGAGTCCCAGGAGCCGTCTGTGGTGTCACACAGCAGCCGCCCCCCTGGAGGGGACGGGATGTATTGCTTCGGAGTCCCCTGTCTTTATCTTACAGCCCCGAGTGGGTGCCACAGCCCTGGGAGAGGGGTGGGCACACCGGCCTGGGCTCCAGCAGCAGCCAACCCCTACAGTCCCCTGGGAAGCTTTTAAAGAATGCAGATATCCAGGCCCCACCCCAGACCTACAGAATCAGAATCTCAAGGCGGGCGGTGGGGGGGGGGCAGCCATTCCCCAGCTCTGAGCACCGTCGTTCCCCTTGGGTTTTGATGCGCTGGGATAAGATGTTGTTTGTCTTGCAAACTTTATTTGATAATTTAAAAGAATGCTTTACTTCAGGCTGAGTCAAAATTCCATAAAACTGCTCGCCTGTGATTTTATGTATGGCCTGGGGCGAACGACTCATCACTTCCTCTGCACCTAAATTTCCTCAACAAGAAGGTGAAAGTAGATTTTCCCTAGGTCTCTTGTGACCATAAAATTTAAGTGTTGTTAGGGAGAAGAGGCCCTACTGTATGTAGCAGATGCTATTGGAGATAATATTGACTGAGTTTCTGGTCCCCACTCCCAGATGTTTCTTGTATCTAGTACCTTCTTCCCCCTTTTTAGACATCAATTTCCTTCTTTAAAAGTTTTTTTTTTCATTGACGTAGAGTTGATTTACAATATTGCGTTAGTTTCAGGTGTATAGCAAAGTGATTCCGTTTTATATATGTGTTTTCAGATTCTTTTCCATCATAGGTTATTACAAGATATTGAATATAGTTCCTTGGGCTATACGGTAAATCCTTGTTGTTTATCTATTTTATATATAGTAGTGTGTATCTGTTAATACAGTACTCCTAATTTGTCCCTCCCCCTACCCTTTCCCCTTTGGTGACCATAGGTTTGTTTTTTTGGTCTGTTTCTGTCTTGTAAATGAATTCATTTGTATTATTTTTTAGATTCCATTTATAAGTGATATCATATAATATTTGTCTTTCTCTGACTTACTTCACTTGGTATGATAATCTCTACGTCCATCCATGTTGCTGCAGATGGAATTACTTCATTCTTTTCTATGTCTGAGTAATATTCCACTGTATAAATATGACACATCTTCTTTATCTATTCATCTGTTGATGGGCACTTGGTTTGCTTCCATGTCTTGGCTATTGTAAACAGTGCTGCTATGAACATTGGGGTACATATTTCTTTTCGGATTAGAGTTTTCGTCTTTTCCGGATATATGCCCAGGAGCAGGATTGCTGAGTCATATGGTAGCTCTGTTTTTAGTTTCTTAAGGAACCTCCATACTGTTCTCCATAGTGGCTGCACCAGTGTACATTCCCACCAACAGTGCAGGAGGGTTCCCTTTTCTCCACACCCTCTCCAGCATTTACTGTTTGTAGATTTTTTAATGATGGCCATTCTGACTGGTGTGAGGTGATACCTCACTGTAGTTTTGATTTGCATTTCTCTAATAATTAGTGATGTTGGGCAGCTTTTCATGTGCTTCTTGGCCATCTGTATTGTCATCTTTGGAGAAATGTCTATTTAGGTATTCTCCTTTTGATTGGATTGTTTATTTTTTTGATATTGAGTTGTATGAGCTGTTTGTATATTTTAGATATTAAGCCCTTGTCGGTTGCATCATTTGCAAGTATTTTCTCCCAGTCTGTAGGCTGTCATTTCATTTTGTTTATGGTTTCCTTTGCTGTGCAGAGGCTTATAAGTTTGATTAGGTCCCATTTGTTTATTTTGGCTTTTATTTCTTTTGCCTTGGGAGACTGATCTAAGAAAATATTGCTATGATTTATGTCAGAGAATGTTTTGCCTATGTTCTCTTCTAGGAGTTTTGTGGTGTCATGTCTTATATATAGGTCTTTAAGCCATTTTGAGTTTATTTTTGTGTATGGTGTGAGGGTGTGTTCTAACTTCATTGATTTACATGAGGCTGTCCAGCTTTCCCAACACCACTTGCTGAAGAGACTGTCTTTTCTCCACTGTATATTCTTGCCTCCTTTGTTGAAGATTAATTGTCCATAGGTGTGTGGGTTTATTTCTGGGCTCTCTATTCTGTTCCATTGATCCATATGTCTGTTTTTGTGCCCAAACCACACTGTTTCGATTACTGTAGCTTTGTAGTATTTCAGACATCAATTTCTATACAACGTGCCCTCCAGGAAGGGCAGATACCCCTGAGAACAAAGTAGTCAACTAGGAAATGGTGTTGAGAAACCTCATAGCAGAGAAAATATTCTTGAAAACCAAGACCCGGAGAATGAAAATCTTTTTTTGGAATTTAAAAAAAATCGGCTTTGACTATCAAGAAGTATAAAGTTGGCTCAAGACAAGATGCATTTCCCAATCCATGACCAATTAGAGCAGAAGGCAAGGGAGAAATCCTGAAAAGACAAAGTTCTTACACCAAAGAGGTGGAGAAAAATTCTGAAGCGACTGAATTATTACCTCAAATTGGTAAGATGAGGTTTCCCACCATTACCAGAAAACAACTAAGTTAGTTACAATGAAATGTTTAGAAGTTATGTTTTTAAAATACAATACACGCCCCTCCAAAGCACTCACCATACCCTCCTCTTTGAGGCACCTGGAACAGAGGGTCACTGGCTCTTTCTAAGGTAATTCTCATGAAGTTTGAGTCTTAAATGATATAGAGAGCTGAAACCAAAAGGGTCCCACCTTACTCCAGCTTTGAGTCCATGATTGCTATTTCCTGGCGGGGAAGCAATGGTGCAAAAAGGATAGTGTGCCATCTGAGGTCAGGGACCTGTCTTACTGGCCCATCATGATACCCATCTCCCCATGTGTGAGTCGGATGAATGAATTCATAATTCATGAGAGACAGAAAGAGAGGCTTACCTAGAGAGAGGACAGCTGTGCAGACTGGGAATCAAAACCTTAATCACACAGCTTCTCCTTGGGGAGGGGTGTTTGAGACTCATGACCCAAGCTTACCAGATGTTTCCATTTTCATCATAGAAGGTGGCATGGCCAGAGTTGTTGATAAGGGCCCGGACACACATATTTTCACTGTCTTCCAGAATGATGTATGTGAACTTTCCCTCTTTTATACTGAGGATGAGCATAGCCAGGTGTCCTGATGGATAACTGGGAGATGGTTAAGGCACAAGTAGTCTCTAGGGGTTCCCTGGAGAGGTCAGAGCCCTGCGGAGGACACAGGCCCCAGTAAAACCCATGCCCCGGCCCCGAATCACAGACTTTTCAGACATCATATGTGTCCCCGTGCTCCAGTGGATACTATATCTGGCCTGATCCATCAGGAAAGAGAATTTGGAAGACAATCTCACTGGGGTAGAGAATGATTTTTCCATCACCTTGATGTACCTAGGAAGAAGGGATAAGCCTGTGAAAAGTTCGCAGGGGTGGATTGTCCCTAATCAGAGCATGGTGCTGTCGCTAGAAGGCTTGAGATCAGTCTACTTACTCTCTGATTCCCATATGCCACCCACCCATCACTCCCCCACCCATAACCACCACCAACTTGCTGGGGATTCCAGGTGGGAATCTTCTCACGGCCTCGGTTTACCTGTCTATGTGACAAGCAGGCTGAGATGGATCTCTCTGTGCATGTGTGTGTGCAGATTTTATTTTATTTTTTAAAATTTATTTATTCATTATTTATTTTTGGCTGTGTTGGGTCTTTGTTGCTGCGCGTAGGCTTTCTCTAGTTGCCGCGAGCGGGGCCTACTCTTCGTTGTGGTGCGCAGGCTTCTCACCGCGGTGGCTTATCTTGCTGTGGAGCACAGGCTCTAGGCGCGCGGGCTTCAGTAGCTGCGGCACGTGGGCTCAGTAGTTGTGGCTCGCGGGCTCTAGAGCGCGGGCTCAGTAGTTGTGGCGCACGGGCTTAGTTGCTCCGCGGCATGTGGGATCTTCCCGGGCCAGGGCTCGAACCCGTGTCCCCTGCATTGGTAGGTGGATTCTTAACCACTGCGCCACCAGGGACGTCCCGATATAATGTTTTAAAAAAACCTCTACTGTCTCTTAGTCATGTCTTTGTCTTCATTCTTGATAGTATTTATACCTTTTCTGTTTTGTTTTTCTGGATCAACCTTGCCTGGAGATTTGCCTGTTTTACTAGCCAGCCTTTTGGTTTGCTTATTCTATTCCTTTGCTTTCTAGTGTATCAATTTCTGTTCCTATCATTATTTTCTACACACGTCTTCTTTCTGTGGGTTTTCTGTATTAGTCTATTTTTCTTCTATTTCCTTGAATTGAACATTGAGCTCATCGATTTCCATCTTTCTCCTTCACAATCCTCTTTCTCCTCGTCTTTAATATAAGCATTTAAAGCTATAACATTTCTCTCAAAATACTGTTTTTGCTCTTTCTTCCGAGTGTAGATACTTACCTTTCATTTCATTCTGACTCCTTTCCAATTTTCGATATGATTTCTTCTTTGACACACAGGTTATTCACAAGAGTGTTTTAAGATTTGCGCATGTACAAGTTGCTTTTGGCTACGTTATTATTATTACCAATTAAAATCCACAGGGTTAAGAGAGCAGAGTCTATGTGGTATCAGCTCTTTAGTGTTTTCTGTGACTTGTTGTGTGGCCGAGTGTGTCGTCACTTATTGTAGCTGTTTCACTTGTGCTTGAGAAGGATGCCTGTCCTCCGACGCCCTCGTGTCCCCATCAGGCATTAAAACCCAAGCCCTTGGGTTATCAGGACAGTTCTCCTGCTTCCCACCCCTCCCTCCACCAGGACACACCCACCTCACCCACACTCTTCTCGCTCTCACTCTTCTCGTTTTCCAGTTTCTATTTCTGGTATTACCTCCCGCACTTTCTTATACACTCTGCGTTTCAAAGGATGCTTTTTACGTTTTGTCTAAGTTTCCCAGGTGTTTGTAGCAGGACGCCTTTTGAAGTCATCTTGTGCCCCGTGTTACTCTAACTAGATGTCAGGTCAGTGGTTTTAGAGCTCTTATTTAGCTTTTTGTTTTGTTTTGTTTTTGCGGTACGCGGGCCTCTCACTGTTGTGGCCTCTCCCGTTGCGGAGCACAGGCTCCGGATGCGCAGGCTCAGCGGCCATGGCTCATGGGCCCAGCTGCTCCGCGGCATGTGGGGTCTTCCCGGACCGGGGCACGAACCCGCGTTCCCTGCATCTGCAGGCGGACTCTCAACCACTGCGCCACCAGGGAAGCCCTAGAGCTCTTATTTTTAACAGTTGAAGAATCCTTTGTTCAAGAGAGCTCACAACAGGATGCCAAAATCTGAGACAATGAAAGAAAGAGGGGCAGCTGGTTGAGGAGCTGCTATGGGCTCTGCAGGGTGTGGCCTTTAAATGCCCAGGAATCTCTCTGTGAGGTGATGATGATGATCCTGGAACTGACTCTTGTCCCTACCCAGCACTGCGCTCAGCACTTTACTTCCATGACACAGTGACCCAATGGAGGAGACACTGTCATTAATCCCTGTTTAAGAGAGGCTACCTGACTTACACAAGGCTATCCAGTGAGAGGGGAGCCAGACTCCCACAGTCTGCCTCCCACTCCTTCCCCACCCCCCCACCCCCCCGCACCCATGGAAACACACTGCCTCTAGCCATTAAGCTCCCAGCCACCTGGCACATTTACTCTGCAAATCACTGCTCTCTCTCTCTTTTTTTTTTTAAACCTAAAAAAAAGTGCTTTATAAGGACATCCGTGGTTGGTTTCTTCCTTATCGATAGCTTGTAAGAAGCTTCTAGATAATGTTCATGGGAGAGGATTTTGTATTTTACGTCTTATTTTCAAAAGCCACCTGAAAGCTAGAATTTCTCAAGATGCTTCCTTCTTGTCAAATTCACTTGGCATGGAATGACATTTTCCTAATGATAAGGACCCCGTGGGCAAAGAAAAATCTGACACAGAGGTAGAATTGTCACATTTTCTCTCACTGGGAAATATATCATAAATAGCACATCTAAAAGCCCAAATCTCATCACTATTGGCTTGGGGACAAAGTATGAGGTTAAGAGCTAAAAGTTAATAGAGCAGAGCCTACATCTCTGGCCTTCCTTCAGTTCTACTAGAGGGAAAACAGTGCCTTATAGGCAGGACCCTGAGCTATGAGACAGCTGCCATCTGTCTGTAAGTTCTCCCTACTGCTGTCTCTCTGTCTGCCCCTGAGCTGTCCCTGGCTCCTGTCTGTCTGTGATCTCTCCCTGACTGCTGCAGAGATGCTGGCTAGGCTGGATTTTGCCTGAACACCAGCACACACTTATAAACAGTGCTACCTGACTCAGCAAACTACTTGGAATTTATCGCCCATTTGTAAAAACAAAAAACAACCAAATGTCCCACTCCTCATGGGCCTTTTGGGCAGCCTACGTGAATGGTGGGTTAGGCAGGATCCTTTGCTTAGAGATCTTGGGGAGAACCTTCCCCCTGGCTGCAGGAAGGACATTTAAAATTGGTTAGGAGACAGATGCTCCAGGAACAAAAGCTCCAGGGCAGGACAGGGTGGGGAATGGGGCTCTAGGCACGTGGGCTTCAGTAGTTGTGGCACACAGGCGCACAGGCTTAGTTGCTCCGCAGCATGCGGGATCTTCCTGGACCAGGGCTCAAAGCTGTGACCCCTGCATTGGCAGGCAGATTCTTAACCACTGCACCACCAGGGAAGTCCCTATGTGATTGCTTTTCGATATAGATTTTAAATTTGTTAGGGGAGGGACCTATATATTTATATATTTCCTTTCCTCTACTCCCAACCCCACCCAATTGCTTAACGTAGGCCCTACAAGGAGAAGAGGCTCAACGACCCCTAGTACAAGTCCTAGTCAGTCTGTGATAACCCATACACTGAGGTGTGCCTCTATACATGGGACATATTTTTCTTGTTTGTATTCATGTTGTGTATTGGTCCTGACAGCTCCCTGATGGTGTGTGTATATGTCTTACTTGGGCCAAAAAAAAAAAAAAAAAAAAAGCCCTGTGCAAAGTGCAAACGCCAACTGCCACACTTACTTTAATCTTGCTCTTTATCCAGCCTGTGTGTATTTCTAACGTCTTCTTACGGCGAACAAGACGACGAGATTGTTTGACTACTTTCTCAGACTCATCTTGTGGTGGTAGATTACATACGTGGAATGTGAAAGTAGTCTCTGTAGCCCTTTGGTTAAATAAGTCTTTGGTAGAAAAGAGAAAGAAAACTTAGATCTGTTTCTCTCAGGGCACCAAAGAGAGCTTGAGGATTTGGGATATTGGCCATATTCCCCCAAGCTCTCTCATTTTTTTTCATTCATTCATTCAGCAGACATTTATTAGGGACCTATGATGTGCCAGCTTAGTGACAGATGCCAGACACCACGGTGAAGACCACCCGGTCCAGGCTTGGGGATGTGAGGGGTGACACACCAGCCACATGCCAGTAACAAGTGTGGCTGCTGATTCTGTTAATGGGAAAAAAAATAGACTAAAGTGGGGAGTCATTAAAAAAAGGGAAACATGCCTTAAACATGCTTGTTTTAACTTAAAACAGAAATGTGTACTAACACATCTTTTTTTTTTTTTTTTTTGCGGTACGCGGGCCTCTCACTGCTGTGGCCTCTCTGGTTGTGGAGCACAGGCTCCGACACGCAGGCTCAGCGGCCATGGCTCACGGGCCCAGCCGCTCCGCGATGCAGGCGGACTCTCAACAACTGCGCCACCAGGGAAGCCCCAACACATCATGTTTAAGTGCAGGGCTCTGTGGTCATTTTTGCTTAAACCCCATTCATAATTTATTATCTGTAACTTTCAGTTTTGGCAATTTCTACATAGTCTGAGTGCAGAATTGTAGACTTCAAAAAAATTTCTGTATATGCCCCAATCTTCTGTGTATGTTTGGTCCACATCTTGTTCAAAGCAGTTTTTTTAAAGCTATTTTCTTATTAAGTCATCTTAAAAGCATTGCACTTAGTTTTCACAGCAACAGCAAGTTTCTTTTTATCTTCATTTTGGTCCATTTTTATAACAATTGAATGTGGGGAGTAAACCCGTAAGGACCACCGGGGAACAATCCCCACTCCCAGGGACCCTTGGCAGGTGTCCGACCACCAAGGGGCGCAGCGGTAGGAGGAGCTTCCGGCGCGGTCGGTATCAGCCAGGATGCTCTTCCCCGGAAGAGGGCTCGGTTCCCTCGGCAGCTAGGTTTGGGGGAGGTCAGTTAAGAGAGGTTGGTTGTCCCACCGCTGGGGCCAAGGCAGTGTTGGAGGAGGTCTCGGAGAGAACGTGACCGCCTCTCGACCAGCGAGCTGGCCGGGGCAATGGAAGGCTCCCCACCCCCTCCCCGTCCTTGGAATGTACGTTCTGCCCATGGTTCCCACAGTGCGAGCCCTTTTCAAGGACGCAGCTTTGCGAGCAGTGTGCTGTTGAGCCCATCTGGAGGGATACGTGCCTGAAGCCAGGTAAGGCCTCCATCTAAACTTTAAGGCTCTCGTGGGCGGGGGTGGAAATCTGTAAGTCTTGCGCCGTCCAAGACAAGCGTCGAATGTTAAATTCTCTTTCTTATTAAACCTGCCACCTACCAATCTGGAGCGGGCTGCCTCTTTCTTCGGTCTCTCCTTGCCCCCTGCTTACGGGGGCTAATTTCGAATTTCACCCGGGGGACCCCGGGGTTGCGAACCAACACAGAGGGTGCCACGAGGGCTCACAGGGACCGTATCCAGGCCTGGCGGTCGAGGACACTCCTGGTGGACGAGGACACTCCTGGTGGAAGTTTTCTCTAGTATGCCAGGCAGAATTCCTAGCGTAAGCATGACATGGTTGAAGGCTAGTCTGGGACTGGCTTAGTGATGATAGGCGACTCACGAGAGGCAGGCAGGGCTAGAGCATTTCTTTATTCACTCACTCAGTAAATATCTGTTGTGTACTCGTGTGCCAGAAACTGTCCTAGGTATCGGGGATGCCACATTCCTTGCTGCCTGTTCTAGTAGGGGAGGTGGTGTTAAACAAGTGAACAGATAAAAACTTCACGTGCCAGTGGCTAGGAGTACCCTGAAGAAACATTAAGCAGGTGAGAAGGTTGGAAAATGATGTGAGTGTGTGTGTGTGTGTGTGTGTGTGTGCGCGTGCGTGCGTGTGCACTGGTTTGTAAAGGGTAGCCAAGGAGACTGTTTCTGAGAAGGTAACATTTAAGCAGAGACCTGAATAAAGTGAGGGAGTAAATTACAAGGATATTGGAATGAAGAGTGCTCTAGGCAGAGGACAGCACGTCCAAAGGCCCTGTGGCAGGGATACCTGGCCCTGATGAATAACCAAAAAGCCAGTGTGCCTGGAGAGGAAAAAGTGAGGGCCTTCTAAGCCACATGGGGAATGTGGGATTTTCCTGGAGGCAATGGAGGGCCAGTGAAGAGTTTTTAAAAGATTTTGCTGGAAACAATATGGAGAAACGACTGAGAAAGGAGAGGACAGGAGTCAGGGACACTAGGGAGACGAGGGTGTCTGAGGTGGTGTCAGTGAGGATGGAGAGGTGGGGGTGGGGAAGGAGAACCACACCTGTGCGCACCTGAGGAACTAAAGGGGCCGCTCATTAGAGCTCACAGGGGGAGCTTTTCCTCAGGAAAGTGAGAGAGAGGTGGGCGGGGGCAGAGTCAATAAAAGACCTTTGTGGGAAGCTTGGAAGCGGGCCTCAGTCTCCCTCCGAGGAGTCCTCCTCCAGTGCTTGCTTCCAGAGTAGAAATGATTTGTCCAGGGGAAAAAGCAGATGTGAGCCCAGCTGCTGTTTCTGAGTATCAATTAGAAATTAATATAAAGCATTTCTGAACTGTAATGATAAAAGAGGACATGGACGTGCTTATGTTTTTCTCCTGTCAGAATGCTAAAATCATGGATTTTCTGGTTTGTGCTGTTTATCCAGTTCTGTCTTTATTAGCGGGGAGGCTTTAGGCTGCCTTTCTGAGCCTCAGTTTTCTTAAAGTGGGATCATGCTGCCTGCAGAGACCCATCAGGTTACTCTGAAATGATGCTGCATGGAGCCCGCTGCCCCATAGAAGGGCAACAGACCTGTGCCCTCCACACGGGGAGCTTTGGATTCTGATGGCTCATGAGCTCATGACACGAGCTGCCCACTTCTTTTCACCAGGCGAGCTGTCTCTGAATAGGAGAGGCTACCGAATCTGAGGGTCTCCGTGCAAAATGAAAATGCAGGGATCCTTGTTCTAAAATTGTTAAGGATTTCAAGACAGTGACAGCAGAGCATTTAAAAGCAAGCGCAGGGCCTTAAGTGTGAGGACCTGTGTGCCTGCAGGTCATGTGCCTGCGACGCCAGCCTTGGCCCAGCTTTGGCTTGGAAGTCGGAGAGTTCAGAGACGTGGGGCTGTGTGCCTGGGGTGTCAGATAGTGGTCTGGATCCTGGAAGTAAATGAGTTTGTATCTCAGAGGAGGCTGCGGGATTTCTTTGGGACTGGCTACAACCTGAACACGGAGGGGATGCCTCTTATCAATTAGAAATGTGTTGCTTTTCTGCATTAAAAGCTCAAACCTTGTAGGCCTCAGGTGTTCAGAGGAGCAGGGAGTGGGGCAGGCACAAATGGGGAATCCGGTCATGTCAAATTTCACTCTGCAGTTAGAAGTCCTACCCGGGGCATGTGATGTAGAATATCCTGAAAGGCCTTCATTTCCCCAAAGGAGCAAAAGTTCATGCATACCTGCATCCATTTAAAAAAACACTTATTGAGTGCCTACTGTGTGCCTTGCCAAGGAATGAAAAGACACAGGTGTCTTTGGCCCAAAGGGAACAGAAATAACATAATAACAGGCATTTGTTGTGTTTCTGGCTGTTGAACATCTGAAACCCCCTCCTTGTTTGGGGGTACCCCATTGTGTGAGTCTTGGTGGGAGGTAGGCCTGCCCGCTCTAGAAACTGAAGGTGATAATTCCTTCTTCTGCCTGCCTTCTAACTCCAATGGGGACATGAGACTCAGGCTTAGAAGGCCCTTTACTTCCCCAGACACGCTTGCTGTTTGTTGCTTATTGAACATGTCATGGGGATGAGCCCTGGGTCTGACCTGAGGGGTCTTGGGCCTGAGTGGTTCACGCCCACACAATGGCTGGGTGATCTCAGGGAAGTCACTTATTCTCTTGGCCTAAGTTTCTTTACCCAGCTTCACATGGTTTTGAAGATTAATTTGAATCCGATAACTGGCCTGCAGCAGTTATTCCATAGGAGTTAGGTCAGGGGCCTACACTGGTATGGGGACAGGAGCTCTTCCTTGAGAGGGAATCTGGGGCTGTGTCCTGGCTCAGCAAGAAAAAGCACCATGATTGATTAGGTGTGTCTGCCGTGGGTATTGCTGCCATTTCTACGTTAGTTGGATCTGGTCGTCTGAAAGATGTTCCTTATGGTGGTTTTGAGTTTCTGAATTAAGTAGCCTGATGGCTTAGGCTCTTGGCTCAAACTTTTTTTGAGTAGACCCAAAAAACTGGCAACCTCCATGATTGGCATATCTTAACAGCTGGACCTCAAATGCCTTCAGTATCTGGTAAAGGGGCTCTTTCTTAAACTTTGTGTTAATGACTTCTTGGACACCCCCCTCCCCCCACCCCCCACCCGCAAATCTAGGTCAGATCCCTTCTTGTGTGGTTCCATAGTATCCCCTTCCGACTGTACCATTAACCGTTTTATGTGCAAATTCCCTGATTTCTTGGCTGTCTTCACCTCCTGCCCTCCCTCTCGCCCCCAGCACAATCAAAGGATGAACCCCTCGAGGTTTATCCTGTGTCTGGTTTGCTCTGTATTTTATCCCCAGCAGCTGAGACCGTACTAGCCCAGTAGATGCTCAGGTGAGGAAACAAGCATTTGTCCCTCTGTTACGGACACGGCAGAAGGTGGGAGACAGCGAGACGCACCCAGGAGAGCCGGGCAACGGGGGTGGAAGGTGGGAGAGGGTTCTTACTTTCACGTTTCTTCATAATCCAGAGGATTGTTTCCTTATGTTTTCCAAAATTTTTCTTCAGCCTTAAAAGGAATGTGACTCATCTTTAGAAGCTGAGACTAAATTCATGTTTCCATGTCATGCTGCACAGTAGACAGTGCTAGGGCCTGCTCAGCCTTTTCATAGGTGGAGGGCTGCTTTTGGACCCAGCTTTCTTCCAGTCTGTACTCAGGAATAAAGGGCCAGCACATGGTGCTGTGCGTCCCTCCTGGCCTCTAACTGGCCTTCAACTTGGGCACCTGGGCTGACCCCCAGACCTTTCAAAATGAATTCAGTGGGGGTCCTCCTGGGAGCGAGGCCAGGGCTGGGAGGTCCAAATGCACGGCTGGTTCTGTGAGTTAAGCTCGTGCAGCTTGCTTTCTCTGCGGCTTGTGCCTATTTCAGCGAAGGCTATTTGGAAATAGCTTAGAGAAACAGCATTGTCTGCGAACTGGACAGAGCCACCTGAAACCCCTTTGCATTTAGTAGGAAAATTTCAAATAAACTCACTCAAAAATGACTTATCATGAAAGCCACATTAAGGCACAGCTCTTCAAAATGATCAAGCCCTCAACCCCCCTCTCATGTCAATATACAAAGGGAGTCATCCTGACATTAAAGTGGCTTGGACTGTTTTACTTCCAAATAAGGGTGGTCTCCAGAGGCAGCTGCCTTTCCTGGTTCTCAGATCAGAGCCCTTTTGGAAGGGAATCTGCCAGAAGGAGTGAGCTTCCCAGGCTTAATTGGATCAGAGAAGGCCTTTGACAAGACAGATTTTAAGTTCTCAGTTCAGAATCCTTGAAGAGAGCATAATAATTTAACCCCAAGCAACCTTAGGAAGCACACACCCTTTGCTGGAAAGGGCTGGACTGTTTTGTCTGGGGGAAAATAGAGGTTTGCTCTTTGTACTTTAGGAGCAATTGCGGAACTGGAGAATGAGCTCTTCGTGGCCCATTTGTACCAAGTGTTATTTATTTGCAAGCACTTTGAATGGAATTGAAGCAGTTACCTTGCCCACCATCACCTGTGAAAGAGTAAGGACCGGGGAGGGGGTGGGGTGAGGCTTGTCCGGCCGGCTGAGAACACGATGCCACATGCACATACGAGAGTTAAATTCCAGTGAGGGGATCCAGCCAGAGGCATCCAGGGCCCTTTGGGGAAGTTTCCTCCCTTAGCTCTTTGCCCAACTTTGCAAGCTAGTGGAATCCTTAGTAGCTATAGCTCCTCAATGGTAGAGACTGGGTTACACACTACTGTACAGACCGGCAGGCAGGAGGTGCTCATGAAATATTCATTGAGTGCATTTAGGTTAGAATGAGCCTCCATTATAGGCTTAAATGGGAAAGAAGGGGAGAAAATGTAACATGTGAGAGAGGGTAACTTACAGGGGTGTTATTTGGGATTTGTTTTTTGCTGCTGTATAAGGATCTGAAAGCTTGGATGTTCTTTGTGTTTTGCATTGTGTATTTTGCCCTCCCTTTTCCTAGAGAAGCCTTAGGGGTCTCTGGCCCTCGGACTCTGCTGAGCCCAGAGCAGAAGTTGCTGGCAGTCAATCTCTCCCTGATTTTTGTGAGAGCCTCCATTCACCAAGGAGCTTATGCAGGGCACCCCATCCTCACAGCCTCTTCCTTGGTGCCACTGCTGGAGAGTCTGCCATAGACCCCCTCGATGTCTGACCATGTACCTTGTTCACTAAGGTTTCTGACAGCTGGAATAGTGAAAGTCCAGGCTTCCACGTACCCCAGTCTATCCAGATAGTCTATCTATGGGGTTCTGGAACATTTTGAGACCTGGAGTTATGCCAACTAGAAAGATTTGGTGCCAGCAGCAGTCTGCAATAAACTTATCATTCCCCATTCCCAACAGGGGCTCTTGCCATGAATCCCAGGGCAGTGAGGCTCAGGGCTTTTTCCCCTCAGGGAGCATGAGCTTGATCCTCCATTGTCCCCTCACTTCAAAGGCCCAGGGGTCTGAGCCTCGCTTCCCAGACTTGCGTACAATTCACGGTCCCTTCAAGACTTCTCATGCCCTGGATTTCCAGCGTCTGTCACTGCCCATCTTTGATCCTGTCCTGCACATCCCCTGCTCATAGATTTCTTTGCTCTTGAGTTTTGGCACGCAGCTGGACCATCCTGTCCCCATGACTCCTAATCTTACCCTTGTCCTTGTGCCTGGCTTGTGCCTGCCCTTTGACTCAGGGGACCTGTCCAACCCTGGCCTTACTCTATTCTCTGATGACCCAATTTACACTTTCCCCACTGCTACCACTGGCCTACCTGCACCTACTGACCAATAGCTCCATCTCTCCAGTCACTTACAGAATTCCCAGTTTCCTTCTGGTCTCACTCTCCAGATGACCAGTCAGGGGAATGTTAATATCCTCCTCCAGTTCATTGCCAGCTGCCATTTCTCTGAGCATGGTCCTGAACACTGACTGATAGGAGCTGGTCACAACCTGCAAAAGGACCACAGAATGAAATAGCCAGAAAATGGGAATTAACAGTTAGTTAATGATCACTTTTCTGACTCTCTAAGCTGCCAGAGGAGATTGCAACATGTTATTCGAAAAAGACAAGCAGTGGGAACAGTAGGGTGGCTAGCAAGATTTGTTCCAAAGACTGTCGTTACAGTCACACCCTCTTCTCATTCTCCAATTCCCTCAAGAATTTTTTTAAAATAGTAGCATACCAAGAAATTGTTTGAGAGCATAAAATTACCCTCGTCTTCCAAATGTAGAGATGGCTCTAGAACGTAAGAGTGCTTCCATGCCTTAAGAGCTTAACAGCCTTTTTGAGTTCCAGGAATGGCCAAGCTCTCAGTGGTTGGTTATTTATTCATTGTGAAGGATAACAGTCTTCAGGAAAGCAGGGTAACACCTAGCACGTTCTCGTAGAGGGTGATTCTACCTTTAAAGATTCTTCCAAAGTAATGACATTGCAAGCTCCTTTTTTATTTTGTAAATTTGATCATTCTATCCCAAGTCTATGCTGCTAACCAGGACTGACCCATAGGTGGGTCCTCACAAGAGTTTCTTCTTTTGGATCCCTTTTGGTAGAAGGTGAAGTTTGACTTGCTGTCCAGGAGAACCATGGGTCTGTCATGTTGCCCTGCTCACCTACAGGTCGAGGTTGTTATGGTGGTGGATCTGCATCTGATAATGTGCAGTCTGCCATTCACTTACAAGCCTTCTATCGTAAGTGGAAGACCACAGATCCGAAGCTGCATGTGACCTGGGGCAGATACAAGAATGGAGCTTGTGATTGGCTGGTTTTTCTAGGTTGGGGAAAAGCTGGGGTGTCTCAGGTCTGCCTTGTCTGACTCCCAGCCTCTGCGTGCTCCTTTCCGCATTGCTGGTGTTCAGTTAATGAAACACGGAGGCCATCAGACTGAAGAGGCTGTAAGGCCGTGGTGCCCTGCGTAAGCAAACCAAAGCCTAAGGCCATAAATGCCTCAAGGTTAGGAAGTCAAAACCCGAGGACAGCCAGTCACAAGCAGCCAACTAGGCTTTAAGCTACGGCCAATCAATAACTTCCTTGCTTTGCTTCTGCATTTTCCCTGTAAGTCTCTCCCCAGCTCCTGTTGGTGGAGGGCTCTTAACCACTTCCGGATTGGTGCTGCCCGATTTGAATCCACACAGGCTCAAATAAACTTCCAATTTCTTTTTTTTTTTTTTTTTGCGATACGCGGGCCTCTCACTGTTGTGGCCTCTCCCGTTGCGGAGCACAGGCTCCGGACGCGCAGGCTCAGCGGCCATGGATCACGGGCCCAGCTGCTCCGCGGCATGTGGGATCTTCCTGGACTGGGGCACGAACCCGTGTCCCCTGCATTGGCAGGTGGACTCCCAAACACTGCGCCACCAGGGACGCCCTCTTCAAATTTTTAATAGGCTTCAGTTTATCTTTTCATACGGGAATGAGTCAGTGCTTCAGGGCAGGCCGAGGTTAAGGCTCTGGTGTGGCTACCCCTGCCTCTAAGTTCTTCATTGTTGACCATCCCTCCCTTGAGGTGGAGTGATGACCTGCTTGCCCAGGCCAGTGGTCTCTCACCAGCCCCTTTGGATTCCATGATTTGTTCACCGGAAGATATGGTTCCTGCTATGGTCCACCAGACAGCAGACCCGCTGGCGGGGCCTGGTCGAAGTTCTCGTCCCAACCAGGCTGTGCTACCCCGCTCCAGCACATGTGCCCTCCTAGGAGGCTCATCCCGTTTGCTTCCCCAGCCTCTGGAGAGCTATCCTCATGGTCGTGGTAGGGGTATTGGGCCCCCAAGTGATGACTTCTCCCATGCCCTGTGACTGCTCCTGGGTGAGTCTCTGGTTTTTGTAACCAAGAGAGTTTGCACAGCAGGTGTTTGATGCACGTGTGTATCCTACAAACAGTTCAGACATGTATAGGGAACTCAAAGCAGCCAAGAGATTGAATTGTCAGAATAACCAAAGTCTAGGGTGATAGCGGGCTTCTCATTGTGGTGGCTTCTCTTGTTGTGGAGCACGGGCTCTAGGCATGCGGGCTCAGTAGTTGTGGCTTGTGGGCTCAGTAGTTGTGGCTCACGGGCTTAGTTGCTCCACGGCACGTGGGATCTTCCGGGACCAGGGCTCGAATCCGTGTCCCCTGCATGGGCAGATGGATTCTTAACCACTGCACCACCAGGGAAGTCCCAACTTCATTTTTACATAGGGTTTCTGCAAAGGACGATTTGCCTTGATATCTAGGTATCTAGGTAGCTTACATGATTTGTTTTTAGCTTTGCTGCCTTCAAAATCAATCTTGAGGGTTTTTTATTCATATTACTGAAAGCAGGGCCTTGTGGTGCCATACTTGGCTTTCTTCTGACCCTCTTTGGTTTAATGTGTGTCATTTACACTTAGGCCTGCTTTAAGAAAAGCTCACTTTGGCTGTGCTAACAGTGTAGTGAAGCTGTGAATCCCAGGGCTCAAGAGGCAGTGTCCGGCTGGCCCTGGGCCACTCTGCTCTGACATTCAGAGCCAGGTATTCTCCAGTTTTTATCCAACTTACATTGGCTTCGAAGTCTTCGGCTTCCAGTGTGCCAGTGGGATCACTTAACATACGATCGCAAAAGCTCTCTTTAGAGACAAACTCCTCGACTTTCAATTTTGGAAGGCACGGCAAAAGGAGAGGCATTTGGAAAAGGAACGAAAACAAGAAACAAACAGAAACAAAAAGAGAAATAGATTTATGGCATTTACACTTGCGCTTTTGAATAAAAATGCATATGTCACCAATAAGACTTTAAATAAATTCATCAAATCACTTAAAATTTGACTTGGGGATATTAATAAAATCGGAATAAAAGGGTCAGTTTCAGTGGCGGACTTAAGAAAGTGAGTGTGTGTTTCTGGTGGCCAGTGAAGATTCATCTGACAAAGTGACATTTGTGTGAGTCCTGCATGAAGCGAGGGAGCGAGCAGGCAGATGGCTGGGGAAGAGCATCCCTGCCAGGGGGCAAAGGAGGTGCAAAGGCCCTGAGGCGAGAGAGAGTGGGCGCATGTTGACATATCTGACAAACTGGAAGAGGCACAGTATGCCCGGAGAGGAGGGAGATGGGGAGGGGCAGGGCCAGCTCACCAAGGACCTTGTAGGCCATGGGAAGGAATTTAGATTTTATTCCGACAGAGATCTATTCTGAGTGTGATTTTTCTCTTGGAAATCCTGAGAAATGTCCCTAGCGCCCGTCAGTTTTGTCAAAAATTGCTCATTTCCAGAATGGCACATGGTTCGTAATTGCTAATCAAAGCCTAAGAGATAAATCCCAAGCCAGC